GTCTGCATTTGTTCACAGGCCTAGCTTGATCTCTCATACGCATCTCCAACTCCGAAGCATCTTTATCGATTCTTGCCCCGATCTCCCCGTTAGACAATCCCTGGTCCCTCCAATTCCTGCATATGATCCACCGCCACCCTAAATGTAACAATAAAAACAATCAGTGCCAGCATAACTCCCAGAAACAATCCACACACGACAGTCGCTGCGTTGAGATGGTGAAGATCCAACATATTCTTATTTCTTGGCCCGTGTAAATTATATGTTCTCCCCATCATCTAAAGCTACCAAAAACTTGTAAAGAAAGAAACACAAGTATCATGGGCTATATGTTGTAATTAAGTGAATAAAGAAGGACGTTTGGAAATCTTTTACAAAAGGCCTAATTGGGAAATGATGTGGAAATTGCCGCTTTCGGCTATTTTGGGGGCAGAATTGCACTTGACGATTCGAATGGGGAAATAAACGTGAGAATTCCTTGTGTATGGATTTACATTTTGAAAACCAGATATGGAACGAAAACATTTATTATGGCAACAAAAGTGGAATGATCAATCGACGTTTGCAATTGAATAGATTTAGTTAATCTAGCACACAACGCCCCAAGAGATTGACCACCGAAACGGTAATGTGTGAAATCCGCATTCGTCACAGGTAGTGGGCATGAATAATTTTCCATCATCTGTTAAATAATAAAATTAGCCAATGAGGGCAGTAAGTCGGAGGTTGGAGGGTAGTACGTACTCGTGAAGAAGGAAGGAAATCCGTATAGCTTCTGACTCCAAGTGCCACTATTCTTCTCTCAGCACCCACTGAAGAATTTCCTTGACGCGCAGAGTATCAATCGAGGCGAGAATAATTCATTGAGTTGATTTATTGATTTTCTTCGTGTTTCGGTGCTGGGACTCGGAGTTATTGAAGCTGAGTGTGCTGTGGTGCATATAGTTTCCAAAACACATCAATCGACCTGACTCAACTCAACCCGCAGCTTTCCCTCAAGTTTCAATTACCGATATCACTCCACCCTCGCCGCTAAGAGATATAACTCATTGCGCAATGGTGCTCTCATGGTCTCTACTGATTCACACCATCCAAGTCAACAGATCTCGTCCCTAATCATCGACTCCGGAGTTCCTTCGATCTCTCTGGAGAATCTCCTGGACCTGCACTCCATCAATTCGAGGGAATACAAAATTAAGCATGTAGAAATACATGAGATACCAAGCGATGAATCCCAAAATTGCACCCAAGCAAAAACCAAAGGCTAGCATTGGAACCTCTGAGGGTGTAACCTCTCGGCTTATAGCCATTTCTGCTTGTAATTATTTTGGTAGTTGGAAGGGCGAGGAATGTTCATGTTCGAGATTTGGACAGATGTGTAGTAGTTGAATGGTTTTTTGGTGAACTATTTGTGCGTGAGTGAGTGCTTGACAAGGTGTTAGCGCAAAGTTGCTGTCTAATATAAATCGTAACCTCGTGGAGTGGGGCACTCGAATGGAGTGAATGGCGAGGGATGACTGACTTTGTGGTGCAAATTCTTGGACAAATATATCGACCACTGTTGTATTTACAATGCACATTGCCTGGAAACCATCAAGGGGGAAGATTGATTCTTTAGCTATTTCTTGAAGCTATCGAAGCAAGTCAGTGTCTGATTTACCAAAAAAGTTGAAGAAAGTATCAGAAAACAGCAGCAGCAGAGACGGAGTATCATCAGAAAATTGGTGCGACCATTGTGCGACCAAAAGGAATAGACGAGTGTCAAGTGAACGAGAAGGCTCAGAAGAACGAAGTGTGATTAGACTGGAGGTGTACTCTTGATGTATGCATTGCTTGCCTCACTTCAAAAAGAGGACAATGAGTCTTGATTATGGTATCTTATCATACAGGACGTAAAAGACACTCTCTACTCCCAACCAGTAACGCCAGTACTAACCTATTTCATATAAAATTCATACATTACTTAACCATCCATTTTGACATCCTCCCCTACAGCAGGGGTTTTGCCCATATTTTTGAGTAGATAACTTCGTTTAAAGTACTCATTAGGGTGCACAATGGTTTCTAATTGTGCTGCACCCCATGTACCATCATCTTTTACTTTCTTAATCTCCTGCTTATGTGCGTACTCGAACACTCTGAACATTATCTGTTAGCAGCTATCGAACGAGTATTTCTTGCATTACATACCTATTGCAAGCAAGATGGAACTTCTGCTTCTCTTTGTCTTCTTTTACTCCTCTCAAAACCTCATGATCGTTCACGCCTACGGCGCGCAATAATGAAGTTAGATTGTCCACACTAAAATGTCTATAAGGACAACCGTGTGATTCTCCTGGTCCCGGAGGATGCTCCGTCAATATCTTCTGACAGCTAAACGGAGAATACCCATTGCCTCTGCGATTCGAATCCCCTCCCACGTCACCATATGCATGACGAACGTTGTATCTGTATTCTTTATTGAAGACATCATCTGTAATTTTGCTGAAGGAGGAGCGCCAAAATACGAGACATTCTTCCAGATTCAAGCCGATACCCTTGAGGAATAGGGTGTATTGCAGACGACCGTAATGTTTGAGATGTGCATCCCGGCGGAGGGATTTATGGAGGTTTTGCATGCAGAGAGGGAACGAAGAGGAAAGTGCGTCGATATTACGGGCGGATATGTCAGCTCCATCGACTGCAGTTGCTGAGCTGGAGTAATGTGCATCCGGTGTGGTGAAGTTTTGAGAAAGATGTGTAAGAATTGGTGTTAGTCGATCATCTTCATCAAGCCGAGGAAGTGCGCGAGATGTGATCTGAGTGAGCAATTAGAATAATTCGTGATAAGGAGTTAGGAATATCAAACAAACCTCCAAAGCTTTATCCAGCCTGCTTGTAAATTCCGCAACAACCATTGATAGTTGCTCCCTGGAATGAACATACGCCTTTCCACCCTTTAAAAATACTCGCCGACTCTCGACTAATTCCGGGACTCTCTCCCAGTCTACTTTGAACCAACTCTCTTCTTCAATTCTCATCTTGTCTCTGCCGGCTGCACCCTTCAATTGCTCCCAATAATCCTTTTTCTCATCCTCACTCACTGTCTCCCATTCTAGGTTAAGGCCCTCCACAAATGATTGCCGTTCTCTTAAATCGTCTGCCTGGAACCGCAAACGGAATAACATAGACTCCACACGAGAAAATCGTCTTCGTAAGTCTTCTGTAGAAGCGAAAGCAAGCCGCAAGATAAAATGACTATAATGATCCTTCTGTCTCTCGGCCTGCAGTGCACTAGATCCAGACGAAGAAGCAGAAAGTGGTAAATATTTATCGAGAAGAGGCTTCATGTGGGCTGCTGTCTCAGCAGGGGTTCTATTTCTGAATGAACATGCTTCGAGTTCTGCGAGAACTATTTTTATGTTATTATATATTCGCAGGTATGACTAAGTTGTTGAAATACCTCGCAGGCGATCAATAGCCCATTGCTCAAATTGTTCCAGAGTTATATCAGCCGTAGGAGGTATTGTGTAGAAATTCAGACGGTGCGGGTAGTTGAGATCTTTGTAGGCGGGCTTTTCTGCAAATTGAGTTTTCCTATAATCTGGCTTTTGCCTCTTGGAGAATCTGTTTGGGTCTTGACGTATCATTTTGTCGTTATTTCAAAATTGTATCCCAATGTTGATGAGTTAGAATGTTCCTCACTGCTATGCATGTACGGATTGAATTGGGGTAACGCGTGCTAAAGTGGAAAAGTCGCGACGCGCCGAATTTATTACGGGTAGCTTTACTGACCAGGATGGCAGCTTTGTCGGCCAACCACTTACAGTTGTTGCATTTCAATAGCATGTCAACATAATTTAAATATTGTAGTCGTTGTACAATGTCAAGAAATCAGTTGATTCAGAGCTGGGAAGCATCAACTGATCGCTTCTATTTAATCGTCAGCACTAAATTTAGGGGGTTATTTACAAAGGAAAGACCAACCCAAACTACTAAGCCACTAGGTAGTATTTACTACAAATACTCTTCATATATGATATGTGTCCGGATAACCTGGGATTGAAACTCGCCTTTACGAATAACTGATTGCATCTCAATGAACTTGAAATGGCCTATGGATGCTTGTTATCTGACCTTCCAGTCCACATCTTGAAGTCATGGACATTGTAAGCGAGAAATGCAGAGGCTTCCCCCTTTCTCAATCGACTCAAAAGATGCCTGTTCTTGAACCCGCTTTCCTCTTTTTAAAGCCTTCCGCAATTTGAATCCACGTCTTTTTTGTTTTCATGCTCTCTTTGAGTAAGATCTGAGATCCGAATGAGATGGGTTTTTTCAGTTGCCCGGCAAGTTTTGCCGTTAGCGTAATAGTCAATTGGCCATGGCAGAAAAGTGGTGTATTTGTAGCAAGCTCAAGAACTATGTCACTAGGAATCTGTCGGCTATACGCCAGTATAATTAGAGCTCGCCGTACGCTTCCTAAACAACAACAGCGACCTTCAGATACTGGCAAGATCCAAACCTCCGCGGATGCATGGATTGGAAATTGGGAAATCGCGCCTCCCAAAGAAGCTCAAGTAATGTTAGCCTCGAAAGTATTAGAAATAATCTTCAAAGCAGGAATTAAGCTGAAAGATTTAGATTTTGCTGGATTTTTAGACCTAAAATGATACGTCCAAAAAAAACTGTGTCGATAAAGCTGTGGTAGTTAGTTGGAGGATGAGATGCAGCTTCCAGATTCATCATTGACAGTTCAATTCAGCCCACGATCGCTCTTTCCTCTATTTTTCTGCCATCATCAAAACTATTACACCACACCACTTTTTCCCTTCTATCTCTCATTGCCTCATAAACCCGCACATTTGGATACTGATATTTCTCAATTCTGCGCATTGTTACACTATCACAAATCTACAGCTAGACATTGCATTATCAATTCAATTTACAGCGGCATACCTAAACATCGTATACTGACTGCAACGCCTCCACACCCATCGTTAAAAACAATAAACAGAGACAACATGGCTGTTCCTCGATTTTTACAAGATCCAATAGGAATAGCTCCAGAGTTCGTTACATCTACTATCGTGACAAGTCACGAGCTTGTGCAAAACAGTTTGAAAACTTCGATATCTACGAGTACGAGGAGTAATTGGCTCGCCTTACCAGCCATAACAACCACGAAAACTTCTACCTTAGCACCTATTCAGACACTCATAACCTCTCTATTGTTCAGAGAACCGTCGAACATTCAAATAGCCGTCGCAAACCCAACACATACAAGCGTTCAAAGCGAACCATCTACGAATGTGCATTCAAATTTTCCACAGTTCGGACGACTTGCAGTTACTCCATATCAGCTTATGTATATAATAGCAGTATGCGTGTGCTTTATGATTCTAATGAGTTTCTGCTGTTGCACGGATGACATTGGGCGCTATATAAAATCCAACCGTCGCACCAATCCTGGCGCAACGATGCAAGCAGCTCCTGTGTGGCCAGGAGCTCTGCGAATTGGGGATGGAGCTGACGATCGAAGTAGGAGCAACAGAATTTCCCGAAGTCATTCTGTTGTCAGCGATTCTGCTGTTAGACCTCTTATGCCTAAAGCTGCAGAAAGGATCGATTCACCTGGTACTTCTACCATACCTATGAATACTCCTACTAAAATAACCATCAAAAAATGTGAAGAAGGTCATGGATCTATCATTATTGATGAGATTGAACTGCGGGATCTTTTCTCCGCACCCTCGTGCTATCAATCTTCAAATAACGATTATGATTCCACTCAGAAATTTCTTAACGATAACCCTAAGGCTGATGCTCGCAGTCGACGAAAAGTCAGCTTGCGTGGTGGCTCTGGTGCAGAAGACAACCTATTGCGTACCGGAGCCATCACTAGTTTCAAGCAAACCGAGGAGAGATGGAAACCAACGTGGTCTGCCACAAAATCTCTATTCAGTTCTCGACGCAGAGGATCAGAACCTATTCCAGCACAGAATACTTCACGTTCCGTACCAACTAGGTCTAAAACTTCTGGTAACAACCACTCTTCATCACCACAAAATAGCGATCAGTTTTTTCAAAAGTCATCCACAAATACATCTAAACGTGCATCAAGACAAGAAGATACTTCCGGTACGATTTTCTCCTTCCCTATGAGTGAAGGAAGCGATTCGGAGATTCCACGCTTTCCCACCCTCAACCGAATAAAACGAAAACTCAGACCAATTATCCATTCTGTGTCAAAACAATCCTTGAGAGAAAGGTTTTCATCGGATCACAGTGCAGAGCACAGCGCCGAAGAGGAAAACTCAGAGGATATCCAATATAGCAGCACAGTTCGGAAGGCACTTCGAAGAGCTCGTAGCTCAGCTTCAATTCCATTTGGACTTTTTAAACTACCTGAGCCGGCAAGGAACGATCCGGAACCTTCTCTCGCCGGACCTGTTTCTATCATTTCTAGCCCTAACGATGTCCGTTCTGTGGATTCTGATACCGTCTCTGAAGATACCCTGAGAGCTAGGTCTCCAGTTAGTATATTGCTTGGAGTCAGAACTGATAGAAGGTCTGGTTCTTGGCATCGAAGCAGGAGTCTGCAAAAGATGGTCAAGTCTAGTGTGGCGGATGATATTGATGTGGCTTCCCCACTGACTTTTTCAGATGCTCGCAATCTTGAGGGGGGGTGTGAATCTGGATCTGGCATTGAAGTTAGGGGCCCGAATAAAGCTGATGTGGCTATGGAGAATCTCGAAGGTTTAGCTACTAAGAGTGATTCTGCTTCTGTGTTGACGCGTTCAAACTCTGGAGTAGAGGGGCAGGGACTCGAACCTTCTAAAGAGAACTCTGAAAACGGAGAAGAGAAGAAGGATCATGATGAGATTGAGGATCAAAATGCGGGCCAGGTCTTCAAACCAGAAACTGTTGAAAAACTAGGCTCGATTTACGTTGCATGTAGATCGATTAATGGCAGTCAAGGTGAGGACAATGATGATGCCGTTGAGACCGAACAAGAAAGTTCCGACGAATCATTCTCATGTCCAGATCCTACTTCTATCGGTAATGCAAATAGAATTCGTAAGCACGGTCAAACGGCAATGGCTAATCATTTCCATGCGAGAGCGAGAAGAGTTGGAACGGATAGTACGGATGGTTCAGGGAGTTTGATTCCTAGGAATAGGGAGAAATTGAGGGGCAGATTGGGTTTATTGATGATAAGAGGGGTTGTAGGGGGCGAGGATGGGGGAGTAGGTGCTAGGCGGGGTGGAAAGGTCGAGTTGGTTCCGATGAATTTTGGAGGGGATTACTAGAATGGTGAAGGTGGAATTTATGCATACATCTGCAAGAGAGGGGCAGAGAATGAGAGGAGGAATGGGAATAACAAGATTTGGAATATCAATTAGCGATTGTTTGTCTAGCAAGGATATCGTATAGGGTTCAAGGAAAGTGGGAAAACTAGAGTATGATTAGATCCATTATCAATCATGAAAGAAGAGAATAGACAGGAACATAATCTTAGACTTCAGATGATGACCACTTCTTCCATTTAATGAATTGGTATCAAGGTCAACTTTCTTTTAAATAAATCTCAACATAAACTCCACAGTCGAGCGAATTCTTCACCACATCCAAATGACTTTCAACTCGCGTGTTATGTCGGAAACGCACTAACGGTGGTAATATCTACGCGATCGCTAGCATCATATAAACTAATTTCTACTGAGAGAAAGTCTTTAGTCGATTCAATATATTAAACATACACTACTTCTAAGTTCCGGGTGATGAAAATATTCAATGCGTTATTTAGATCTGTCCAGGATGTGAGGAAAGGCAGGGAGAGTTAGATATGTGGCCCAGTCATTATGCTTTGAGATTATCTCTAGGACGGGAGTATGTGTGACTTAATATATCATGATATCGAATAAATAACGATTAGGATCAAGATCATTGAGGTTTCATAAGAGATGAGATGAGTCATCTGTCTGCCTGGGTACCTGGGTATCTGAGTATCTGGGTATCTCGGTTTTAATTATATATGCTACGAATTCTATGGGGCTGGAGATTAGCCGAATTGAGGGTATTTATTATATACCTGGGTACTATATAATACTGTAGGATGCTCATAAGCTTAGTGTTTTTTTTTGGGATAGGTGTTCTTGTTGGTTTTAGGAGGATATGGGATTTTGTGGTGGTCTTTATAGATTTTTTGGGATTGGGATTGGATTGGATGAGAGTGTAGATATCGCGGTTCGATGTTTAGCTTTTGTGGTGGGTGGAAATGAAATGAAAATTTGGGGGTATTATTTCTCGATCAGGGGGATAGGAAGTACTCTGTGAGTGAGTGAGTGAGAGAGAGAGAGTGTGTGTATGTGAGAGAGAGTGTGTGAGAGAACTTCAACATGCTATTTTTACTTCTTGTATCCCATTCTTTTGGAGATTTTGTTTTCGTTCCATTTGAATTCTTTCACGCTTCTTGTATTTCTTTTCTTATTAATTATGTCGATTGCTTTTTAATCGACATAATTGAATATCCTTTCATCATATATTCGAAGTATCAAAGACTTCATGATTTGAGGTCAAGGAACGGATTATGGATACATGGCGTAGTGGAATTAAGGATGTCTTTTTCTTTGCCCTCAGAGGCATGGCAATGGAATAGAGGTTAATGCGTTTGCGAGTGAATTCTGTGGAACCCATTTTGCGGGAAATTACTCTCGGGTATCCCCCATTGCTTGTGCTGCTCGTCTCATGATTTCTATCTATTGATATTCTATCCATTTCAGTATTGACTACTCTTTCGGATAGAGATGGCCATGATATTGTGCTTCTATACCTCTTTGATTCTTATATAAATCGCAGAATGATTCACCTACGAAAACGACACGTGAACATGGTCGCAAATTCGTGATCTTCATTCAAGTCATTCACTATCAACTGAAAACTCCAGATTCCAAACTTCACTCTCGTCTGATGTTTCACTCGTTTCCCACCAAAATATATCCCACAGGTCGCAAGCTTGTTGATCTCGAAAATAAAAATCAACAACCGAAGATCTCACTTTCAACCACCTCGCCAAAGCGAACAAACTCGAGGCAAACCATGCAAACATCTCTCACCGTACCGAGCTCGCCTACCTATATATAATTGAATAAGTCGCAAGCAACAAAATTGCGAGGTTGCTGTGTGGCGTAGTGGTAATATCACTGCGGCTTAGTCGCACATCCGTAGGTGTTGGCATGCGGGATTTATCTCTCCTTCACCTCGTGTGTCCACGCCGACGGGTAGTCCCTCTTGAGCGATCTAACACACTTGATCAATCTTGAGACGGTGAGGTCACGCTTCCTTAGTTTCGCTTCTGTAGAATAAGATCTCGAAGTCGGACAGCGCCGGTGGAAGAAACCCTGGGTTTACAGAGTTCTTATTCGATGGTTTCGGCCATTGAATGCTCTCGGGGTTTCTCAACTTGAGTCGGAATTACCCGATTCTTGTATCTTTTTCTTTTTCTTTTTCTTTTTGATGGACCTTAGGTTTTTGATTCGATCTTGGGAGGCAGTGCGTATTTACAAATGATGGTCGATCGATCAGGCTTAAGGCGTACAACGGGTGACAGCATGTCTTCAAAGTTCAATTATTTCTATACTGACTGAAGGATATGGGAATCATCTGGGCAAGGATCTCAGTATTGCCTTTCAGATTATTGACTTCCGAGCTTCATTCATCCTTTTTGCTCCTTGGAGTTTCAAAATCTCTTGGATTGTCGCCAAATATATACATGGTATTGAATCGAAGGTCATCAATTTGGTCGTTGTTATCCAGGAATTCCACGTATTTTGTGTTCTGATCATGGAATGAATCAAAAGAATCTTGTTATCGTTGATATCTAGTCTATCTGGCAGCATATGCACGAGCGCTCCCTTCCTCGGAGAATGATTTCAGGATTTTCAGATGACTCCTAATCTCAAGCCCAATGAAAAGTTCAAGGGGCCAAGCTCCGTGCGCTATATGGTCATTCTAGTCATCATTCTTCAATAGAGTCAAGTCCTTCGGTGATGAATCTGCGGTGCCTATCCTAGTGGCAATTTGAGTTGCCAGAGTTAATGAACCTTCACTACTGTTGGCGCCATTGGCACATCGTTTGCCCTCCGGTAGAGGCCGCGATGAGAGACATGTATTTGTGATGACAGCTACAGTGAATGTTTCTTCTGTATCTTGCAGTATGTCTCTCCAGCTGTAAGTGTCTAGAGAGAATTCAGTAATATACAGGCTGTCTTGAGTAATTGAAGGGAATTCAGCAAGATGCAGGCTGTCTTGAAAAGCGAGAAGCTTGCCTTCACTACCAATTTCAGTAAATCTGAGAGTATCGAGACAAGACAGAATAGATTTTTTTGACATCTTTCCGCAGTTTTGATTCATTTCTCTCGCAGAACGTTATAAATTTAGCATCCTTATCTCTACCTAGTTTCTTGATGACTGATCTGATAGTCTTGGTTTCCCATGGGAAAGATACGAGGATATCTTTGAGGGGAGGAATAAATAACATATCAGTCAATGAAATACGTCTTGCACCCCAGTACAGGCAGAAATCTCTACTCCGTAAAGTTTCAGAAGATTTCTGATGTTGCGATGCACCAATTTGTGAATTCGAGATTGTTTCCTCAATGATAACTCTGTGCCATTTGAGATCCCATCAAGCATAAGCTTATCATCCGCATTGAAGGGCAGCTTCCCTCTATTATCCGCCCTCCAAGACACGTTCATAGGTTCCTTGGTAAATCGACTTGCTAATGATTTTCGTGCAAAACTTTCATCTCTTTCAATTCTACACATTGCATTCTCTTCGAGTAAAGGGAAGAATGAATAAAAATTATTGATATTGACCTCGGCGTCTCATATTCAATATGTTATTACCCCAGCTATTTTTTAATGCTGAAGTTTTACCTCGCGTCGTCTTGTGGGATACGTGTCTCAATTTTGACTTCCTGACAGATAGTGTTGGACTGAATCGAATACTAGGTAAATTCTATGTAAAGTAACATATCGCAGATAGAACTAGCCAACAAAACGCATGACTCAATAGCGCATATACCCCTCCGATCTTCTTCTCAAACTTCTCCTTTCTCTGATTCTCCAATTCCTCCCTCGTTCTAAGCACCACGTTCAAATGTCGAGCGCGGCATTGAGCATAGAGTACATGAAGGCGAGTAATCGTGTTTAGTATGAGTACCACGAGCTATCATGATTATGTGGGACGAACAGCTCATGGTGATTCAAATATTGATCGCCTATGTAAGGAAGACGGAGGACTTTTCGTGATTCTGAAAGTAGAGGCGTGAGATGGACTATTCCTGAGTGGAATTCGATTGTGAGCCATCCACCAATAGTATCAATAATCAGAACCATAAGCCATAAGCCATAAGCTCACATGGTCAGCAAGACACATGAAACGTACACCCTTCACATCCGGTATCAAACATACCACCCACTACCGTAACCCAAAAACAACCCCTCTCCATTTCCAGCCACCCGCAATCGAAACGCTACAAAGATCATAGCATCAATTATACACTCGGTTTTTACATACTTCTCTCTATGCGATATCGGTAGATTAAATGGCATAATGCCAAGAAATCACATTGATCACTTGATGCATATCAAGTTCCCGAGTATCAGATCGGCATTTGAGAGTTGCATTGCGTATGCATGGGAAAGAAGTGACTTGGTATGTTTGTTCATTGATTGAAGCGAACGAGTGTACCTCATCATGCACCCCATTCACGAAAGTTTTTCCCGAAGGTAGTAAGGAAGGAGAATGAAACGGGAACACATAGGCAAGCAACAATATGCAAGCAAGTAAAAAGCCTTCTCACTCGAGTGGTTATACGAAATGTCATTCATTATTAATCCTATGGTGTAGCGGTGGGTTAATTTGAAGAATACAACGAGTCGTTATGATGCCAAAGCAAAAGAAGATTCTTTCTACCTCGAGCGTATGCCCTCGCCCAGACACGTAGATAGATAAAGCAACAAAGTACAATACAAATCAACTACTAGCCTTCTCACTCGAGGGACCATCCGAGCACGTGATTTGATCCCCTCAAAATTGAAACCCAATCTTAAGTAGCGGGTAAACGAAGCCAACTTAAGTTCATCCTCCGAATACATCGCACTTGAGATTTGAAGACGTTTATGGCGGTAGCTCAATTATATATCGAGTCATGGGACTGAATGATAGGAAAGGGTTAGATCATGCAGAGATTTACCAATAGAGGAAGATCATCAAAGTTTGGCTTTAAAAACTCTGTTTTTTTTTATCCCCACTTCCAATCAATTAATCACCCTTTCAACCATGTTATGATCCTTATGATAACATGGGTCATGATGGGTGAATGAATCAGCGATAGGTATTTGACAGAATCTTGAATTTCGCTTTGTTTTGCCGACGAGGTTGATTGTTGCTTGTTGATTGTTTAACACCGACGTGAATATAGCAGCAGGTAGGTAGGTATACTCGAGTATTTATGCTGAACTTCATCGTGGTGATGATGATACGGAAGAAAAGAAAACGAAGCAATCTCGACTTCTTTCATGCCCAAGCATTTGTCACATCGGACCATCGTTATCTTTCACATATCCTCAAAACCTATCTTGAAATGAATATCATCACATTCATCACATTTGTCAAAACATACCATCTTGGAAAGAGAACTCGTCACATTTCTTCCTTGACTTTCATTCATCCTGATATATGCGCCAAACAAAATCGATTGAATGTGAGGAGCATGAACCAAACAAATCGATGTCCACCCACCCATTATCGGGATATGATTGCAGAATAAGCCTTGTAAGTGCCGAAGCGATAATCTTGGACTTAATTGCATATATGTGGTGCATTGTTGAACAGGGAAGCCCCTCTATGGAGAAATCAATCATAAGTTATACTTTGTACTTTGTACACACGCAGTATATGTTTCCGCGTATTCAATGCGTGTGATCTGTGTGATGTGCATAATCACAGAGCAGCGACGGAAGCATACTCGCGGGATTGGACTTGGACTTGGACTTGGACTTGGACTTGGACTTGGACTTGGACTTGGACTTGAGTTGTGAATCAAATTCTGGGAATGGTAGAAAGAGAAAGAGAAGGAGAGAGTTGTGAGTTGTGAGTTGTGAGATGTGTGTGGTTTGATACTGGATCGCTAGTAATTACCAGTAGCTAGCTGTCTCCCTTTCCTGAATGCCCAGGATCCAGGCCTACTCTGCCATTGATGATCGACATTGAGTATGCAAGTTTATGGTATGGGAATTTGGATAAAATGGTAAAAGATGGTGAAGAAATATTTGATTCGTAGGATTCGGATGGAGTACGCGCGAGTCGCAATTGAAGTTGTACTCTGTATGGTCTGTATGGATGGGATATGAAGCACGAGGTCGAGGTGGGGGCGGATATGTATTTCCCTCGGTCTACTCTGTATTCGTACATAGTACGAGCCACCCAGTCACGATTATTATTTACACCTCTCTTTTTCTTCCTCTCCCTCTTCCTTTTCCTCTTTTTCTCTTTTTTCGCCCCTCCTTCACTTAAAATAGAGGATTATAACTACGGATGAACTTCGGAAATGGATCTAAAGCAAAACGGTTTCGGTAGTAATCAACTAAATTATGTAGTCGAGGTAGTACTCGGATTAAAAAAACTTTAATGAGAATGATCGTTCGACTTGACTCTTGACTCTTGACTCTTGACTCTTGACTCTTGACTCTTGACTCTTGACTCCTTCGATTTGCATAATCCTTACTAGGTGTAGGTCAACGCTGTGTGTAAATGCATTCATTAAACAGGAGAATAGTTGATGGGTCCTGGAGATATATGTCGATTGATATCTCCCGCTCGTATTTTGATCTACATGCAATACATTTTCTCTGTCCATTCTTTGGTATCATTCTCATGAAGAGGTTTGAGATCAATCAATACGCGCTAGACTTACGGTGAAAGTTTAAACCAAGAAAAGGGGATTTTGGGCGGCTCAGGGTGGGACGGTATACCGGGACGTACCTGATTTAACAACGGTCGACGGGCGGGAAGTTGGAAGTTGGAAGTTGGAAGTTGAAAGTTAGAAGCTCATGATGTGAAAACAGACGAGACGGACGGTAGATGAAGTTTCGGTCTGAAATGTCACGAAGCACTAATTTGGGAGATCTTAATCTAGGACTCGACGTAGCTACAACCTACTACCTACTACTTACTACCTACTACCTAGGTATGTATGTACCAATAAGTGTGGATGAAGAAATCAATGCGGATGGATGAAATGGATAATGATCTTTCATCGTTTGAAGTCGGGGTTCTGCATTGATGGATGGGGGTTACGTTGTGGTTACATTGCCCTGAGTAGCTGGTATGAATACTACCCACCTACCTATAGAAATGGAACGAGTACCTACCTGGACTTCTTCAATATCTCCATCCAACAAACAGTTGGTCTCATCTCATCCCGTCGCATCCCATATAAAATGTGTATTTAGCCAATTACCTCTAAACTCATCCAATCAACAGCCGTCCCCCAATACTCCTCTCATAGTACCTAGATCAACAATGAACAATACGAAAGACACACACAAATCAAGCAATGCCATAAGGCTTATAAGGCTTAAGGCATGAAATATCTACGAAATCGAAATCGAAATCCATTATTTTATCCCGATTTAATGCAGATAATCATGTATTCTCATTGGCGCACATGAGCGAATAGTTGATTCAATTTTGATATTGACTTCGGAATTTTAGTCATCATTTTCACGTCCATCACTTTCATTCGCTGCCTCTTAAATTCTTCTTCAATTCTAAAACGACGCAAATGTATTTTATTGCGTACACACCTCTTGACTTTGTAGACTTCACTCCATCCTTCACTCCCAACTCCAACCCAGACCTCACCTTTCTGTTGTCTGTGTGGAGTGAAGTGGTGTGTAAGGATTGAAATCTCGCTCGTCTACCAGTAAAAGAAGCAAAAGAAGAAGAAAAAAAAAAGAAAAAAAAAGCCTGAGCACAAGGCACAAGGAAAACACCTACCACCTACCACTACAACTACTAATCACTACTACTACCACTACAACTATTAATCACTACTACTACTACTACTACTACTACTACTACTACTACTACTACTACTACTACTACTACTATTACTACTACTACTACTACTACTACTATTACTACTACTACTACTCTCACTACTACTACCACACTACCACCACCACCTTAATAAAACTCATGATTATTATTACTTCTCCATAAACTCATCCACCAAACCAAATCACTTTCTCACGCAAAAACACACATCATTCAAGTTGATCACTCTTTCAACTTCTTGAATGGTTTCAATATACAATTTTATACCTTTTGATCAATTTATGCCTGATCTAAGGTTAATTTATTCTTTATTTGTTTGGAATTCTTTTGGAGGCATCTAGGAACATTTCCGAAAGCTCCCATTCAAGCTGGCTCGGAATATTCATCTGGGTCAGCAATCTACCCGGTCGTCGCATGCCTCGTCCTCCATCCAACTCGAAGCGACAGCAAGGCGCTGCCAATGTACGCGATACTCGACACGACAATGGTCTTGTAGGGCCAGGGAAGAGGGTGCCTAGGCAAAAGAGTAATGGACACATGAACGGACATGCGAACTCCTCCGATTCTATCCCATCAACACCACCACCTTCGACCCCACCACCTACAAATGGACACGCGAAATTACCTGGAAATGATGACAACACCTCGGAACATAAGTTGGGGGGAGATGTGGCAAGGAGGACTTCAGTTGGTGGCCATTCAGATTCTTCTCAAGATGGTTACAACATCCCCACGATTTCTTTCCCACAGGAAAACCATCGCCATATCAATGTCAATTCTGCCAAAAACCCTTCCGTACATCGCGATTCCGGCCCATGGCATTTCGCGAAGACGGTGTTGACATCCTGTCCCATCTCTGATACACTGGCCATTCTTATTGTTCTTCTCCAGGTCCCACCCGCTTTCTTGACGATCATCCAATTACTGTTCGCCACTTTGACATTCGTCCCCCCGTCCACAACTGCTACATCTGGAATAAGCTTTATCGATATGTTTGAAGGAACTACTGGTACACCATCATTGGCAACGATTATGGTGGTTGACGTACTGTTTCTCTTAACGTGGGTATTTTTGTATGGTCCTCTGCAGGAGTTCATCTTACAATTTGCACAATCGGTGATCGCATTGACTTTGGGAGGCGGTCTCAGTGGAAAAGAAGCTGGTATGAGGAACGTTGTTCTCTGCTTCGGTTATATTGGGGTCTCGCATTATGCCTCGATCAGCAACATTAAATCTGTCGGACTTCGTACTCTACTCTCATCCCCACGAAACTTTTTAGGATCATTCGACCTCGACGATCCTCTCGAATCGATACCAATCCCTATACCGAATTGGAAAGACCGGATACCGATTTGGGTTAGAAATATTCTTGCGGTTCACATTCTTGCACAAGGAGTAGTGCGGTATATACGAGATTTATATGTTAGAAGTCAAAAACGCGATCATGCAGCATCTACCCTGGGGGATCCTGAAGCAGCGAAAGGATCAGCAGATGGAGCCAATGATTCTTCCACTACAAACCCACAAACACCAGATAACGAAGCTTCAAATTCATTACATGCTAGTCATACAGCCATTACAACCAGGAAAAAGAGAAAACAAAGTGCACAAGTCCGCATACAGCAACCTTTATGGGCAGCTTTAGCAAGTACAAAAATCGTCATGGTCAAAGAGTACGAGACGTCACACGCAGCTGCGGAATCGGCGGGTACAAATGCGACAGATGCTAGTAACCTTGGAAATGCACCCTTTAGTACCGAGCCAGATCGAATTTGGATTACCAATGTTGGGTCTGATGCTGTTTTATTTAGTACCAGTTATTTTCCCGAATTCACGATACCCGATGAGAATCAAGATGATACGGAGGGATCAGTTGTGAATTCGAGGATGCCCATTTTCGTTAGGGTCAATCAAGCACATTGGCAACCCACGAGAATGGAAGCTAGTACTAATCCTAGCTTACCCGCTGGAAAAAACACGTGCTGGGATGGAGAAATCTTTGGACTTGCACCTTCTAGCAGTTATGAGATAGAATTTTTCAATGTCGTTAACAACAAAGTCATTTTTTGCACCAGCGTCAAAACGCTTAATACACCATCAGACACTGCAGCTGCAACTTCCCTTTCACCTCTCCCTCCTCAAGTGTCAGGACGACCAGGATCACCCAGTTCCACTATTCAACAATCAATTCGAGCATCCAAGACTAAACTGGAAGAAGAGCGTAGCCGTCAGAAACGCGAACGTAAAGATCAACGCACGAAAATCCAGACACTTCGCAGAGAAATTGATAAGCTCTCACACATCATAGCCACATCAGGTGGCAATGATGAAAAACAACGTCAAAAAATTCAACAAGCCACCCTTCAGATTAGACAAGCAGAAGAAGCCATTACTTCCATTCAAGCTGAAATTGAAATTGCCGATCGATTACCTTCAGCATCCAAGGATTCCGAGTATATCTCAGCAAAGCAGAAGTATCGAACACAAAAAGACCTCTACGAGAAAGCTAAATCAGACTTCATCACGAAAAAGAAGGAGAATGAAAAGCCAATCGCAGCTTTAAGTGCAGAGCTTCTCAACAAAGAACGACAATCCGAGAAATTGGAAGCTAGATCTATTAAACTTACTCATCAAGCAGATGATCTCCGTGAAGCTAACACCAAAGGGTTGAATGAAGTTCAACGTAAGGAAAAGCAACGGAAGGATAAAGATGATGAGAGGAAGATGGTTCAGGCTAATTGGGATAAGTATAACGTGGAGGCGCAAATGCAACTCCAACGATATACTGATGATCTTACCATGCTTTACCCATACATCGATCAATACACTATGGCTTTGCAACAGCAGCATCAACAAGAAACGAATCAATTGTACGCCAATTCCCCTTGGACAACAGCAGGTGAAAGTTCAATGTCCACATTTCCCGCATACGCTCCAATCTCGAATATGGCACCGGCTATGCCTCACATGGGTGGCTTATTGACAATGTCACAAACCACAAGGCAAAGAGGTAGAAGCTCGAGTATGTTAAGTAACGAGAGTGGATTTACCCAAGGTCCGGATTCAGATGAGGAACATATTCCTTTTTATGGACCACATCTTCAATCACAATCCCAACCTCACTATTCTCCATACAATACCAACCAATCACCGAGTCCATTCGCTCCCGCGTTCCGAAATACGTCAACATCGATTTCTCAATTCCAACAGAATGAATCATTGAATTGGCCACCAACTCGCAAGGGTAGTGGATCAGGTGATGTAGATGCATCGGGGAGTAGAAGTGGAAGTGAGAGAGATAGTATTGGGGATCCAAAAAGCCCACTGAATGAAAAGAGTCAGTTACCGTTGCCTATTGGAGCGGGATCGGGCTTTGGAATTGGAAGCGCAGGATCTAGGGGCTTGAGAGGGGTTTGGGATAATTGATTTGATTGATGCTGGTGGAATTTTTTGCTGTGCTGGTGTTGTGTTCTAGTGTCGAAGGAAGCGAAATGGACTGAATTGGATTGGACAGCTCGGAGATGATATCGATGGGCTGGCTGACTAGTTTGATGATTATGCGGCATGGCTTGAATCTCAAGTGACGTGTGAAGTGGCGGTAGTTGGACTAACTGGTCAAAACTGGTGGTATTTGAAGCGATATTGGCATAGCAATAAAATTGAAGCTTGCAAGTTTACTTTCTCTATATTTTGATTTGACTTTCATGATGCTTTTATGATGTGCAATATGTGTGAGTGTACTGTGATGCGAGAATCTAATGTGATGTGTGATTCGACATGTAGTAAATCTCGAAAAGGAAAGTGGGGGAGGGGAAATGGAGGGGAAAGGGTTTTTTCGGATAATTGCTCGCTTCGCTTGGCCTTATTGCTTGATTTTTGATTTTGGATTGCTTTGGTTTGGGAGAAGGAGGAAATGGAAAGGGGGTAGGGAGGTAGGTATGATTAAGGAGATAAATGGATTCTGATACTTTGCTTTTTCTTTTCTGTAGCGGTATGGAATGGTGAGTGAGTGGGTAGTTGGGTAGGTGGATAGGTAGTTGGTTGGGTGGCTGGATAAATGAATTCTCGAGATTTTTTATGTATCTCTTTTTTGTGGGGGGGGGGGGGGTGAGGGGTATTGAGATTGAGATTGAGATTGAGATTGAGATTGAGATTGAGATTGAGATTGAGATTGAGATTGAGATTGAGATTGAGATTGAGGTTGAGGTTGAGGTTGAGGTTGAGGTTGAGGTTTCTTTTTTCTCAAAATTGATATGATAGGTAGGTAGTACTTGATGGCGATTTCTTGGTGTAAGTGGGTGGTTTTTTGTTCTTGTGTTTTTATGATTTTTATAATTTTTGGGAGATTTGAGAGATTTGAGATATAATAATATAAGAGGAGATATATAATGTAATTTATGGATGATTGAAATTCAGGAGTATATAGATAGGTGATTACATTAGGTTGATTAATCGATAATATCAAGAGAGGAGTAAGTTCCCTTTCATTGGGGATTATTATAGTGATGTTAGATGTCAGGTGTGGAATGTTGGATGTGATGGTGCGACGGTGGGGCGGGTGTGATGAGATACCTTTGAAAAGAGATTCGGGGCTCGGGGCTCGGCTTGGTTAATGGCGGATAGGAAAGATGGTTATGTAGCTCTGTGGGGGAGGGAGTAGGCAGCGGGTAGATTGTAGGGAGGTATGAGATTTGGAGATTTGGGGGGTTAGGTTTGTGTGTTATGTCGTGATGTGATGAGATGGGATGGGATCCGATGTTTTGCTGGTGAGTGGGCATTGCGTCGATACATTATTATGTGAATCGATGGATAGATCTAGCGGTGATGTTGATAATTGGGTCTTTGGTGGTGGGAGTGCTGTTCCAAATGATTGCCTATTTTTGATTTGAGGATATATGAGTAAAAAATAGGGATGGGATATGAGTTACTCGATGTGATTCCTATATACATGCATATAATTAGATACCAGCCAGCAAAAGTGAGCCTAATGTGAAAGTTTGATAAGGGATGAATGTAGAATCGAGATGTGATGTTTGAACTGGAGGAGTATGTATGTAATTTGGAGGATCTATTTTCTGTTTTTTAATTTCAATTTTACATAATTCCAATCCATACATATCTTCTTCTGAATATGAGTTTAGTTTAGAAAGCATCGATGATTTAGGAGGGGAAAGAGGTGGGAAGAAGAATGAACTCGTTGGACTATTGTACTTCTTGAATCATTGAATTGTCTAATCATTAAACCATTAAACCATTAAACCGCCTTGAAGAAGATAAGAAATACGTCGAAATTGGCGTCAAGGAAAACATGTTGTTTAGTGCCGAAAATATTTAGTTGTGTATCTAGGCGAGGATGAAGACGTAGATGTAAGACGAGGGGAAGAATTGCGTGAATATTGAGAGAGATGTGATTCGGAGCTAGCGTTCATTCCTTGAACCTGTCTTTGAGCCGTCGAAGTTGTTGTCAATGGAAGGGAAGAGAGGAGGATTAAAATATACATCTTTTGCTCCATTTCTAAAAGCTCCACCGTGTGAATTGAATCCGGGTTCTGGGTAATGAGAACTGGAAGCATTAGAATCCGTCCAAGACAAACCTCCAGAGTACTCTGTATCTTTCGTGTAACCTAGCCTCTCGACTCCCCTTCTCGGTTGTTGCTCTCGCCTTTTTTTTCCTCTCCCCGAAATCTTTCCGTCCAAGCTTCTTCTTCTTCTTCTTCCCGAAGTCTTTTTGTCTGAGCCTTTACCTGCCTCTGGACAGCTGTTTCTTCTTCCTCCTCCCGAAATCCTTTGATCTGGGCCATTTCCGGCCTCCGCGCAGCTTTTTCTTCTTGCCGAAGAAATTCCTTGTTTTGAGCTGCGTACCATTCCTGTCTCTGAAAGATTTCTTCTCGTTTTCGAATCCTTCATACCATTCAGGAGTATTGTTCCCAAGAACACAACGAAGATTCAAGGTAGATTTATGCAAATCCTTGAGGCCTACCTCGCCGAATTGACCTTTCAAGATATCCTCTGAAAGGCAGGAAGGCCTTTTGACCCACTGGGGCTTCTCCCATTGTAACTTTTTGGCACGCCGATCGACTGTTTGCGCGTTGAGTATTTTCCTACTCTTCTCAAAGGGTTGGAACTCATTCAGAGCGTCTAAAAAATCTGCAACCCGTTCAAACAGATATACATGATCAATCATATGCTTCCCTTTCCTTGCTCGTTTTTCATGACACCATACGCCACCAGCAACCCAGGTAAGTAAGGCATCGGCTTCAGGGTTCCAATTGAATTTGGTCATGGTAGAAAGAAGTGTATTTCTGGTTTTAAGGCGGTGAGGAAAGTAACGAAGTATTAGTCGTATCGAAATCGAAATGTAAATGTTGTATTAACGGTATCAAATGCCGGATATTGTACGTAGAATGTTTGTATCGAATGCAAAAAAAAAGAGGAAAGAAAACAGAGCGGGAACTCAAACCTATTTGAGCGCATTTGCTGGGGCATATGAGTGTACGTAACAGTCATATGCAAGATCATATTCACAATCTTTCTGAGTATTTCGTATGAGTGTTCGTTGAAATTTTGATAAAATTCATGAGTATGCACTAGAACTATGGTAAAATCTATGAATATATCTCGAATTCATGATGAGAGGTATGAGTGTCGACTAAAATTAGATAAATTGTATGAATATATCTCAGATTTTTGATGATATATATGACTGTCTACCAAAGTTGCTGGCAAGAGCATGAGTGTTCACTGGAATACCAACATATCGTGTAAATATCATCAATTGGAGATGAAATAAATGAGTATGTACAGAATTACTAACAAAATATAAAATATTTCTCCAAACGCTCAAGGTATGAATGAGTGTCTATTGTAATACCAATAAAACGTATGACAATACGTTAGTCTCTTCAAAACCGTCTCGCTAACGATTTTCTCGAAAAAATTGATATGAGCTCACCACCATTTCTCACATAAAACTCTTAGGGGATCCATGCCGGGGAGGTTTTGAACATAAGAAACCATGGAATCAGTCATAGTGGGCGGACCACATATATAAGCTATCGTTCGTGATCTCTCCTCCATTGTTCCTAACGCAAGGTCGATGTCGTCGTTGGATATTCTTCGATGATGGGTTTCCATGTTTGAAGTTGCGCTTGTCTTCGAAAGCTCGATAGTGTTGTGGGAGGAGCCGGTTGTAAAAAGCTGAAGATCCCATTGCTCTCTCTCCTTGAAGATTTCTTGTAAACGATCTAGAAACAGTATCGCTTCTTCTGCCTCTCCTTCTCTTCGCTCGTCTTCTGCTGGAGTGGAAGCCGGTACCTTGGTACTGTAGAGGAATTTTACCTCAAGATTCTCGCATCCATTTTCCTTCGCACTCTTTTCAATTTGATCATCTCCTTCTTTACCTTGCACCTTCTTCCCTTCTACTCTCCTTTCATTATCTGTCAATTCAGCATGAATACAAGAGATCATACTCATCAAAGGATTGATACCCATTCCACCTGCGATAAATACCACCCTGTTTCCATTTTCTACCCGCTCCTTCCGATATCCTTTGTTTCCATTCTTATCCCAATAAGAAGGAGGCCAGGTAAATGACCCTCCAATTCTAACTGCTACCTCTCTTCCAAGAATTTCTGATGAAGGCTGGAATAACCAGGCTACCTGTTCACTTATTTTCCCCCCGGAATTTAATCTCAAGATGGGCTTTTGAATTGCCAGTTCAATACCTTTTCTTTTCTCTTCTTTCAAGTCACAAATTGAAGGGGAAGATTGAGAAGGAGGGATATTCACAATGCTAAAACCACCAGGTCTCTGTATTCCAGGGAGATAGAGATCGATCCATTGCCCGGGTTTCCAGGTGAGGAGTTTGGGATAGGAGTTAGAGGCGGTATGAAGAGGTGAAAGATAAAAGAGACGTGTGGTAGAGTTTATGCTTGTCACTTGTGTGAGGATGAAGTTATAAAGGGACTAGATGCATGATTAATCAATATTCGAAACTTTTCTTTCTGTTGGAGGGGTGGGCCGCGATATTCAAATGAGAGGAGCTTGAAGAGAATATAGGTTGTTTGGAACATATGAAAAAATGTGATATACATACTTCATGCCTTGGCTCTGTCGCCGTCCGTTCTATGTGGCTTAGATATTGCTTTATGTCTTTTCCATTTTCCCCCTCACCATCCGTTGTAATTCGCTCTCCTCCCATCACTTTTCGATCAACGTTCTTCTCGCTCACTTCTTTCTCCCTCAACTGAGAACAAAGTTTTTCATCTCCCAGACTTGTAACCCTAGGCCCAGAAGAGACACTCCGAAGGAAATCCAATCCAATGCTTAGTGGCGGCTGTACTCTGGATTCTGATAACCTTATGGGTATTCTTCGTGGGTGTCGGAATAGATGATAACGGACAGCTGAATTCATTCATTCGAAAAGATCACTAAAAGCCGAAAGATATCAAGAATCTACAGTGATAACGGGGTGTCGCAATGTGGAAGCATGATGAGATGAAGTCGAGGTGAGGTACATGGCTTAGTAAGCAGACCCGATCATGGAGTCAGATACAATTGTGGTAACAATTAACATGTGTAGAATCTGGTTTCCCTTTTGCTACACACAAATACGGGTTTACGTATTGGGGGATTTCTCAGTAAGTCGAGTACCCAAAAAATGTGATTTATAAAGATCTCATCAATATCAACTTTCAAGAAGTTCCAAGGTTATTCAAGAAATGTGGTTGAATTAACCGTAAGGCTTAAGGTTAACTTTGTTGTGGCTAACTAATCTCATCAATCTCAACCTCAACCTCGATCTCTCTACCACCTCTTTTTAATCAACTCTAAAACGCATGAAGTTATTTGCTATACTCCCATTGATAACGAATACTCGGCCTTTCCAAATGACAAAAGCAGAATTCCAGAATGGCTGCCTCAACAGGTTACGCATTCGTTGGTTGCGGATTGTATGGCTTTTACACATTGAGGATCAGAAACAAGTTTATTGTATATCATTCTAGTGATGAATCCGATACCTGATATGAAGTTGAGAGTCTCCAACGGAAAGAAAGAAGCGGAAGCTAGAATCGGGAGCTGGGGGCGCTTATAATGGTCCTAGAAATCGAAGAGGAATTGAGAATATGGGTTCGGTAAATGGAGACAGTAGTCGATATGGAAGTTCGGTGTTGTGAGATGACCACAAGAGGAGTTGAGAGTTCAATATGGTCAAGATCTCGAAGGTGATTGGGAAGAGGAAGCTTTCCATGGGTTCTGATCATACTTGAAAGGATCTTTTTCCTGAATCAGAGTGATGAACCTTATAGAGTGATGTACTGATACAATGCAAATCGGAACTTATATTTGTTCTAGTTTCCCGCTTGATCTTCAAATGTTGCACCTCTATCAAATGAGAATACAATAAATGAGATTAAACATTGTCTGTGCACTCACACCCCTTTTGAAAAAAGTATAAGGCGTACGTATCATACTCCCCTGATAGTGAAACAACGTTCGTGCATCTCTTAATCCGATCTAATGATCGTTTTTCGATGAATCTGGTTCCGCTTATCATTGTTTTCCAGCTAGTAGTTATCAATTGAATCATAGGACTTGACATTAGCTTTTGTTTTTCTTCTAGAAGAAATCTCAATCCAATAAATACATTCATCAATATTCTCAAAAAGAAATAGTGATTTCGACGGCAGATGCTGAGAAATGGTATATCAGACAGAATTCAAAATGATTCGTGACGAGAGTTATCTTCCTGGTGGTCTATCAATATCAAAAATTAGTGAATCACTCTCAAATTTCAATTCATTTGTTTCCAAGATTGTTCATGTCAATATCAACATTACGGCACATTCGTAACCCCGACCCAACGTTAGAACACTTTAAAATAACCACATTGCCAGAAACATCTCCCAGACCATCAGGTTTAGAACCAACTTCCCCATCAAACCAAAAAGACAAAACAGCATCAGAGCCTACAAAATGACATACGCCGCCAAAGTCTTAGCAATCCCCGAACTCCTCGAACAGATTTTCTCCCACGTTCCTCTCCCCGATCTCATGATCCGTGTCCAAAGCGTGAACAGGCATTTCTACACCCTGATAACCGCCTCTCCTCTCCTCCAACACAAGCTGTTTTTCTCCTCAACCAAAAATCCATTTATATCCAATCGTTCCAACACCATCATCCCCAATCCTCTCTTATACCCTTCATTCCACGCCTACATCTCTTCTTCTCGCAAAGTATGGATCACGTGTCCGGATCTCCGGCCATTAGAGCTCGTTGAATTAGGAGTTGGAAGAAGGGGTATGCTACGAAGGGGATTTAGGTGGGCAGATGCGAGTTGGAAAAACATGCTGGTGTGTGTACCACCGGTCAAGGAATTAACGATCCATTCATTGGTTGGGCAATGGGTCATAAAAAGCGAGACTGGAGTGCGGATGGGGATGTTGAATTGGAAATTGCTAAGGGATGTGTGGGGGAGTCTAGATGTGCAAGGGGAGAAGGGCATTTTGAGATGTGGAGATGCGGAGAGGTAAAGGTAGGGGCTTTGAGTGCTTTCAGGGGGGTTGCGCAGTGCCCTGGAAGGAACGTCCTTGAAAGGCTCGTTTAATGTTCACGCGTTTGGGAGTGTCACCCGCTCATGAAAGAGAAATCAGCAGGTTTTGTTAAGGGGGCGATGTGAAAGAGCGAGTCTTCAGCGAGAAAAACAAGTTTTTGGACGTATTGAGAGAATGTAGTACGATGCCTTGGAATAGAAAATTCGAGAAGTCAGACTTGCACTCGATATACAATAATCGTATACACAGTATTGCCTGCTGGCAGGTAACACTGACAGCTGACACCAAGCGACGGGTATCAAAGGAACGGCGATGTCACGGCGATGTCATTCTGGATTCCGAGAAAGGCTAATAGTTTATGTAAGATAGTGTGAGATTTATAATCCATATTTGTCGTGAACAATTTACTAAGATTGACAACACTAATGTACACTGTCCAATGATATGACGTTGTGAGACCTTGTTTCTCGTAGTATCCGGTGATAGCTTGCATGATTTTTTCTTTTGTGAACACCACCTCGGCGCCACCCGTTTGTGTAAAACCTCAACTTGAGTAACACCACATCGGGCATACCGATGTCGATTCGTTTTTGGAGAATAAAAAACAAAGATTGCTCAAAAACGTAGCTCAAGAGATAATACCGAGGTCGAAAAATAAACCGAGAATTATGTTTCAGTCCGTATGTTCCACTGCTACGTTACCATTCTATTATTAAATTCTCGATCTGCATGATGTAGGTATCTACCTACTCTATCTATCCAGAGAGAGTGTGGTTTCCCCACAGATTCACACAAAGTACAGAGTGGTTGTGGTTTCCGTCGAAGAGCTTGGATCATTTGTTACACAGAGCTCGTATTTTGGGGTTCGTATTTGAAGAAAGGGCGATGGCTTGGCGCTGCATATGTAATCGAATACGATGGATCGTGTTTGCTGTACTGTAACATCATAACGACCTCGGAGGTTCTTTCTTTTTCTTGCCTTGAGTGTGGTTGATTTTAGTATTAATTCAAGCTCGTCCGCTTGATAGAAGCCTTTCATTCATCATTGTTTTATCAGCTTTTCATCACCACTTCACATCAACATCTGATCAATTCTAAACCAATATGCACTTCTCAAAACTTCTTGTCTTCTCTGCTGTAGCCATTACTGCGGGTCTAGCGGATCAGTTTATGGTTCCTACTCCATGGTATGTCCAAAAAATCAGTATTGGAAACATTAGGCACGGTACCGGCGGCTTGTAAGTTTGTTTCCCAAGGACCCCCACCCTCTGATGCTAACCTGAGAAAACAGTTGGTCATTCAACTTGATTGACACACCCACTCCTGCTCCTCAAGGTCTCAATGTGACCTGTAGTTATTCGAGTCCAACTACTTATATATTCGCACTCGATGGTGCTCCAGTCGATGCACCCTGCAGTGGTAATCCCAATGTAACTTTCAGTCTATATCCTGATGGAGATCATTTTACATTCAATATCACGCATTTGTATGGAAATTGCGGAACGTAAGTTTTGGCCTTGTCTTTGAACTGCTGAAGCCGTAGACTAACAATTATTTGCAGTGAAGATAGCCCAACTCCAGTGAGCAAACTCACTTTCCCCCACATAATACTTGGGAAAATATTACTGACTTTTGACTTTGTAGTGCGAAGACAGTGGAACTTGGAAATTCAGCCAGGATGATGTGAGAGGACAAGAGTCTGATGTTCAGAATAACTTTGGACAGTCTGGAAGTTTCACTAGAGACTCGATTTCCATGTATCCAATTCGAGCGATACCCAGCGAGAAATGCGAGTTCTGTTGATATTATTTAGGGCGGGGGTTACCAAGGGCAACGAAATGCCTAATGTACCAATGAAACGAGTGAAAATAGAAGGATTGCGTCGGGCTTAAAAACGGAGTATCTTAGCATTGGCGAAACAAAATTAGGAATGAATAGAATTTATAATCAACAATCAAGCTGCTCACTTCCATCTGAGTGCCTTGAGATATCAGTAGCCAGAACACCTCGTTCGTAAGCTTTACTCCACTAGCGATGAAGGATTGAATTAAATAGAGCCCAGAGCTCAATACCACTTAGACAAGGGTATATTGGCATCAGCTTGTAGTCATAGTATATAACAACGAACTGTATTGAAGAATTGCTTCGTCATATCGATTTTGCCTACCCATTACTAAATCAAACAAAAGCTTCTTGAAAAAGGCGCAGCCCAATTAAGCTTGTAAAATGAAGGTGAGATAGAGTTCTCATAATTAAATCAGTCGAATCCTACCTACCACACATCCATATCATTGGATTGATCATGATACCCATTCGAAACTCCACCACAACCATCACAAGGGATAGATATTCCGTATGAACACTTCCCGCAATCTTTACAATGCCAGTCTCTCCAGTCGTTACATTCATCACAAACGGAACAATGGACAGTACTGGTAAATTCCTCCCATCCACCAGAGCAGAAAGAGAAATAATACCCACCATCCTCAACAAATGCCTTTCTGAACAACTTCATTCGAATAGGTTTCCTCTCTGCTTCAGTCTTTGCCTCGAGCCACTCTTCACCAAGCTGTTGTATTTCAGGATCAGAACCATCGTGGAATACTGTTCCTTGAGGCGCATCGTAGTATTTCTTCTCATCGACTCCCATGATGTTACTTCGTAATTCCTCTTGTGTAAATGCGGAATCGAGATCCAGATCGGGCCCTTGTACTTTCATCCAACTCGCAAAACAATTTGTAGCGCGAAGTCTCGATTCTCCGAAGAAGAGGGCAAATTTGTTCAGATAATTGGCACACGAGGCACATTTGCAGTTTGGACCACAACTAAAAGAGTTCTTGGAGCATTCGCATCTACCATTTGTGCAACCAGTCTTGCATGAACAGGAGAATGATTCGGTGGTACCGCGTTGTTTGAGCTGTGAAAATGTTAGCAGGCTCTCAGGATGTTACGAAAACAGTCGCATCCTTACTTCCGTCACTCTTCTGTTCTTCTTCGAAGCTTCGTGTTCCCAGCCTGAACCCTCATCATCGCTGTCTTCTCGATTGTTATAATCGCCAACGGCGCGGACCACTTCGGAGACAGAGACAGGGTCCGGTTCTGGATCTGATTCGGACGGAGCTTCGTTCAGATGTTCCATCTTCTCATGTTCCAAATCTACCACATGAGCTATCTCGGGATGAGAAACATATGCTTGAACGAGAATAGTACGAAGCTGCGATTCGTTCAGATCGTGAACCAGCTTGTTTGCTCTGAATAAAGCAGCCATGGATGCTTGTGGATTTAATTCCATGTCGTTGGCGGCCCTAGCAATTTCAGTAGATCCTTCTGTTAATGGTACTTCTTCCTCTGCCTTTCTGATATCAAGTGAAGCCATTTTAAATTCAATTCTGGCAGATGCATAGCAAAGTTCTTCGACTCAGGCGAATTATCGCGAAGATTGTAGTTGGTTTTAGGTAAATTCTAGAGATGTGAAGACGCGTTTCGCATTTGTGATGACACGCGAAAGCACGAGGATTTCTCACAAAATTATGATGACTAAGCGTACCCCTCTCTACAGCAGAAAGGAGGGACTTCTTTGTTTGTTCGTCCTCACATCAATTCAAGGAACCTTCGAAGCGAAGTTCTTAGTTGTTGTCCACGAGTCTGTATGGTCTTAAGAATATCCTCAATTCTTGCTCATCTGTCAACGAGTAGCTCTCATGTTGATTTTAGAAAGATGATAGAAAAGGCAGGGAAGGAAATGCTTCCAATTTCTGATCCATCACATTCCTACCCTTCGTCTCGCGTTCACGCGAGACGCGTTAAGTAATTACTTTTCTTATGCCACAGAAACATCTATATCTCCTTTCCTTTCCTTTCCATTCCTTCTTCTGTCTTCTATGATCGTTATTGTTTCCATTGTATTTTACTTCCATTGTATTTCAAATCTTTACAGTTATAGACATGGTATCCAGTCGATCAAAATCCGGTATACATCAGAACTCAAAGAAACGAAAGGTTAGGTCCACTACAACCAGTACCAAACCCATTCAAGAGTTATTGCGGAACTTCAAGCCTTCGCAACTACGCAAAGTTATTGACGAGGCATTGAATAATGGCAATATTACCAAATCCATACGCGATATTCATGCTCGATCGTCAAGAAAACTTCTGATTGAAGACCATTCAGAGCCACTGGTTGCGGAACAAATAGCAATTGATGACGAAGTGCTTGAGAGCATCGAAAAATCCCCAACCAAATTGAGGCAGTACGCTCCCGTCTCAGCACCAAAGGACCTGTCTGTGACTGCCACTAATGGCAATCTACCCACTCCGGAATGTTCCCAGGAACCTAAGGAGGTACGATGGCGTGCCTTCAAATTCACGAGAAACCATCAACTAACAACATCTTATTAGATACCCATGACCCCCGAGCCTTGGATGACCCCCGAGCCACAACCCAATGCTCAACCATCTCCTCTTCCAGAGGCAGAACAATACATCCCTCCACCAGTTCAATTTACAACTTGTAACTGCCGGTCTGGATGTACTTCCACCCGCTGCAAATGCTTTAAATCCGGACGAGGCTGTTCGCCCTCTCCTTCCTCTGGCTGCAAATGCGATTCTTGTGTCAATATGCTCAACGACTTAAGTACCTTTTTCGGATCCCCCAAATCCTCTGATCCTCCTGTCTCAGCTAGCCCCGACTTTCTAAAATGGATTCGAAAAGAGTCGAGAAATGGAAGGTTCGATTTGATTCATCCGGATACAATAGAAGAACTGAGAAGCATGTTGATGGGAGTGGAATATAGCGATATGACATCTCCACCCCAATTTCCCGCTTTCTCAGGAAAACTTAGAGGCATCGGAAAAGCGTGGATGAAGTCTAATATCACGGATGAAGAGAGAGAAGATATGAAGAAAGAGTTATTTAAAGAGGCTTTCGGGGTCGCAGGATCAAAAGATACGAAGAACGATTATTGGTGCTTTTGTAGGAATGAATGGAAACAAAGTATCTTGTGGGAATATTGTACAAAGTGCGACGAGTGTAGAGATACGAGGGAGTGGCATTGTGGAGAATGTGGGAATAGGAATATTGGGAAGGGGTGTGAATGTCAGAAGGGTTCCAAACGAAGGAGACCACATCAAGGAGCCACTTGCGCCGTTATTCTTCCTCAATAATACATTAGAGTGTGTTGAGGGAGATGGCCTCAGGAAAGCGGATGATTGGAAAAGGAAGGGTGTTAATTGACATAGCTGGAATCTGTAACTAAACGCCGTTGATGGTCTGGAGAGTTTACTTTTCACTCTATTATTGAGACCTAGAGTTGGTGGTAGATAGACTATTGATGGGTATTTAGAGGATATAGAAATTCAGGCGCTTGGCACTGATGGAGAGGTAGTTATATTAGCAGTGTATTATCATTATTAAGACATTACGTGCCGTGGGCTCTGTCTATCCGGATCTTTTCCCTCCATACAAAAGAAAGGTCGACTCTCAAAGCCATGCCCATGCCGAATATTCCAACCTTTTTTACGATGTCTAAAATTCCGTAGACAAAATGAAATATCATAAGTCACAGATCTGTAAACTCAAAATCATTCATGTGGTTGACATCTTAATTTTGAAAGAATGCATGTCGTAAACATACATCTATCCCTTCATCGGGAAAAGTACTTCGTATGTAACCCTTCCTTACATATCTCGTCGACCTCCTTCCTCTTTCTTTTCTCTTTTGCACCTCTCTTACTCGACTACCGCTTTTATTGTAAATGAATGAACTTCAACTAAATAAAACTCAAACACCTTTAAACCTCTAATTACTACATACTACACACCATATAATCTTCCGGGAAGAAAAGGACCCATGAAGATTCAATTGTCAGGAACCACCAACTCAGTTTTGGGCTGTCGCTACTATTCAATTCGACACTTCTATAAACCTTTTGTATACAAAGTCAATGAATTGTGGAAAGTGTTAGTTAAAGTCTGATCATCGAGGCTTGAGAGGTTTGAATAATGTTTACACGCAGGTATCAATTACCGCTCATTCCCCTCTCAGGAAAGATCATGACTCCAACAGATTCACAATTCGCGTTGCGAGTTCAAAGATTTGCGAGTTCACTCTTCGACACCTTTGAAAGTTTAGAGTGTTTTTCGCGTGCTTTACAAACCTTAAAACGTCACCATGGGGAGGAGATGCATATGGAGATAGAACAGTCCACTAGGTCGAGCTGGCTTAGTGAATCTTCAGCCCGATGATAGTTTTTGGTCGCCACATCATAAGGAATCATGAGAGCCTTTCTCTGACCAAGTAAGACACGAAAATCTTTCATTATCGTCGTTGCCGTTGATATCAGAGCATTTCCATTGTCGAGAACTGGATCAATCAATCCGAGCACCGAGCATAAGACCCCACAGCCCGAACCTACCCCGGGACTTTGAATCGTTCTGACAAACATGAATTCGAATGAGTTCTCGGATATCAACAACAATGAAAAGTCTTCGTGGCTCAGTTGGTTAGAGCGTTGGTCTCATATTCCTATGTGAGGTGGTTGTTAACAATCACTTTAGCCATCCAAAGGTCGAGAGTTCGAGTCTCTCCGAGGACAAATTCTTTTTGCTTCTAAGAGCTTTTCTTCCACTTGGTGGATTGAAATAAATTTGTCTGAGCAGCGCATAAGATTGAATATTTTATCGATTGGTGATGGAAAAAGAATTGAACACAACTTTTTGGGGACCTCATACATTTGCCATATTTTTGCATCCCCATCAATCAAAAAGACACCATCATCACTCACTCACACCCGTCACTCACTCTAATAACAGACTACTTATCTCACTTAATCTCCCACTCAAACAAATGCCGTGATCAATAGTGAGCAAGCAATGTCTACCGGTCTACATGTTTCAACTTTATAGACACAGCCCCAAAGTTCACGCACGGCATGAATACCATACCTACATACACTACCTTGATATTGCAAGTTTGAGATTAATCCCAAAATCTGGGTCACAATAAAGTTTGGTGAATTGTGACTTTTTCGTTTGTGTCAGAAGGGAGATCCTACATTTTAAGCATCAGGGTTGCGACGATAGTTGTGATGAACGAAAATGAACAAGCAGGGAGGGCATGGTAGGTTTATTATAAAGTAACGGGAGGAAGAAAGAGGATCGATTAAGAAATCCAAAATGCTTGTTTGGGGATATGAATCCTTATTTTTTGGTGAGTTTTAGATTCGAGATTGATAGACATTTCTAATTACGCTGGCATTGGTTCAACTGGAATCGTAATGATGATGATGAACTTCATTTACCCCTATTTTTCTAGTAGTGGGTAGTGAGCAATGAGAACACGAAATTCTTTCTTTCGTCAATCGGTAAAATCGCGTAATGAGATTGATATTACGATAATCCGCTCCCTACTTACTACTACTCACTGCACATCGTAAAGTAGCATCTCAACCAAAAGATAGTGAAGGGGTCTAGATTTTCGAATTTTGGTAGCCAATGTTTTCTAATGTTTTGAGTGGGGTTTATGGGTTTATGGGTTTATGGATGTCGCTGGTGGTGCCAGTGGGGTTTCTCAATTGGAGATGAAACGTCTCCCCCGCGGGTCTGAGATGGATGAAATGATTGGATTGAGAAAGAGAAAGAGAAAGGGAAAGGGAGAGAGGAAATCAGGAGAGGTTGTGTGTTTGGAAAAGGAAAGATCGAATCAAGATCGGCTTGCTATAAATATCTGAATACTGTCTGATTTGAGAGGTGTCAAGTTCGGATGTTCCATATCTTCTGATTCAGTTGTGATGTGGTGCATTTAATCTCTGAGGCTTATTAGAGTTTAGTCGTGTACATATCAAACACGAAGCTCTTTTGTGGAAAGGACGAGCGCGAGCAGACAATCAGGCAGACTCTAGAGTCCAGATGGATAGAATAGGACCTCTCTAGGCGTTTGGCTTGGAGTTTGAGGTTAGATTGTACCGATTGAGCTGCGCCCCTTTCTCATCTGAATGTTTGCCGCGTAACGCTTTCAGGAGGGGTAGTTGGCAGACCGGATTTGGGTGGTGACCACGAGACCAGCAATGAAATGGCTTTGCGAGGGATTCTGATGGTGTGATTATTAGTGATGGATTTGATCAGTATTGTATTATTTGTATTGGATGTTATTCTAAGCAAAAATCCATTGATTTTTTCTCGTTTAGTCAATACGAGAAGTTGTCGATGCTAAATGTGTTGAACCTATTTATGGAAGAAAATAATAGTAATATTGATCCATTGTGTTTAAACCTCGATGGGGAAACAGAGCACCGCGGGCAATATGTCAAGTTCCAAGTCTTTGATTCGTAGAAGATCTCTAGAACGATTGGCGAATATCTCTATAAAGTCGTCGTACAACATATTTTTAGTCTTTCCGATGGGAGTAATTTAGATGCCGATTAAGGTTTCAGGGGCAGAGAATCATGAAGACTGATAGGTTGACTAAAAAGATGGTCGACACGAGATGTGGCTTGAGGAATGGGATGGATGAAAAAGAAAGTGTTTATCAAGTTGTGAGGGTTTGAAAATTGGTCGATGGAGGGGGGTTCATTGGCCTCGAAAGAATCATCATCGTTGGTTCACCAGTTGTAAATGGTTATGAGTGGTGTAGGTACCTGTTCTTGTCGTTGTTAGATATATCTAGATAGATGGAATGACAATCTCCTATTCTCCTATCCTATCCCCCCTCCACATTATATGATATGATAAGAATTTCATTCATTCATTTCTATCTTCTCTTGAATCTCTTCCCATCTCTACTTTCAAGCTTCTCATGCGAGTACCTACCCACGCTCAATGATAAACTCATAACCATTTCATAAATTACATATTCATATCGTTCATTCATTTATTCCCTCCCTCCATCACTTCTGCTCTCCTCTCATGATAGGAGACTTTTCCCATCCAACCGACCCAATCATTCAATTAAGAATTGATTAATCAATTAATTAAATCAATTGCCTAATACTTTCTACTCTCTGCTTCATCTAGATTTCACCCTGTGCCCCCATACCTCCTACCAATTTTGATATTGAATTAAATTGAATAGGAAGAAAGGAAAGGAGAGGAAAGGAACGGTTGATTTAGTATTCATTCTTATTACTCGTCGTCAATTCATCCATCCATCCATCCATCCATTCGACCATCCATTCAATCACACCACAATCGATTCAATACTACATTCTTTTCGTTCCAGAACATTAAAGGCTTACCTTGCCTAGGTCCGGTACAGCTAAGGGGGGGAAAATACCCGACAACCAGTCACCAACCACACTCTTTTCCATATCAATTCAAGGAAACTTCGCCGTGAGCCATTCACAAAGCTTCTTCTTACACATTCGTTCAACCACCTTCCTGGAAAAGATTCCATCGAAAGTATCCCGTCCTTGGTGGTGCATATGCAATACATATAGCTACTGCAATACAATATACTTACGAGACTACTACACCTCCCCACTCTTCCCAACCTCTTCATCCAAGCTATTCCCCGACTTTGATAACAACACGTCGAAGATACAAGGATCTGGGGGATTGACTCTCAGATATCTACTTCCCCATCACGAATTCAACCATTCACGCTTCGTTGTTCTACCCAGGATTTACCTTTTTGCGAATCATTGAGAGTTTGGAGGAATTAACTTTACTTGTGGCCATCATACTTTATGCAATACAGTCTTCAATTCGCCTTCCAGTTTTGATTTCACTCTTCCTTACACCTTTGGGAAATCTGCCAATACTTTTATTGTCTTACGCTCGCTCAAAGAATATCGAGAAACTTCTCGTTGATCCTCGGATGAATATAACAATTGCTGTCTTGAAATAAATATTTTCTTTGTTGTACGAAAATCAACAATTGAAATACTAGGTACTCAAGTACTATCCTTCGATCCCGAACAATCCGCATACTGCAACATATACGAATAATTCCAAGAAAGTAATTCACTATCTTCCAACATAAACCGCCAATATGAACGTCGGCAAGAAATTTGGAAGAGTCAAGCAATGGGCTGGAGAGAAGATGGGACAAGAGTCCAAGACTGAAGTTTCGGACGAATTCAAATCTTTAGAGGGAGAAATGCAAATGAGACATGAGGGTACGGTCTGCCATATATCGATCCATGAATTATTCTAATATCTACCAGGAATGGAAAAGTTACAAAAGTCCATGACGATTTATGTCAAATCACTTTCGAAGCGGAACGAAGGAGATGATAGAGAAAAGATCTTGCCAGTAGCATTCATGGGACAAACAATGATACACCATGGTGAAGATTTTGAACCGGATTCCGACTTTGGAAATTGCCTCATCGGTAGGTAGATTCCCAGAGAATATTTGAGAAAATGGCTAATGAGGGTATAGCTATGGGTAGAACAAACGAGAGAATCTCGAGACAGCAGGATACATATGTTGTGGACGCAACTTCGAGTTGGCTCGAATCCTTGGAGAGATCTTTGGCTCAAATGAAGGAATATCAGGTTTGTATAATGTGCCATGGTCCAGATACGCAATATCTAATTTTTCAAAGTCTGCCAGGAAGAAGCTCGAACAAAGACGATTGGCTTACGATGCCTCCCTTTCCAAGATGCAAAAGGCGAAGAGAGAAGATTTCAGAGTCGAGGAAGAACTCAGATCACAAAAAGCGAAATATGAAGAATCTAGCGAGGATGTTTACAGAAGGATGCAAGATATTAGAGAGGCAGAGGCGGAAAGTGTTCAAGATTTGGGAGCATTTTTGGAAGCCGAGCTCGAATACTATGACCGTTGTCGTGATGAACTTTTGAAATTGAAGAGGGAATGGCCAGCTGCGTAAGTTACTTGTGATCTACGCGGATTTCTTGAGACTAACATTGTATTAGACGAGGATCAGCGGCACAACCACCTCGTCAACCTAGACGCCCAGAAGCACGACCTCGGTCAAATACAGCTCATTCATACAGTGAGAGATACTCCACATATGAAGAACCTATCCCAGAGCTAGAAGCTCCACGTCCGTCTATCCGATCCAATACTCCTCGTGTTAACACAACTCGAGTTGCCTCGACATCAGGAATTGGTAGAAGAGAGGATCGAAGAGAAGAGTATTCCCCTCCAAGTTCCCCACAACGCCCAACAATCGGTCGATCATCCACATTCCAAGGCCCAACAACTCACTACCGCGAATCTCCTTCCTCAAATCGTCTTAACACTCTACCTCCTCCTTCAGATGCTGGTTCTTTACGCGCATCTTTAAGACCAACTGCCAGGACTAATATCATTTCAGCTGATTTGTTTAATGACCCGAGTGACGATTCAACTCTTAATAGCAATAGTCCAGATAGATCATACGGTGCAAGATCAGTCAGTCCAGCTACTAGTCATGGCAGTAATTCTACGCCAAACTCGAGAAGAGCTCCCCCTCCTCCTCCCAGTAGAGCCAAGAAACCGGCTCCTCCTCCTCCTATGAAGAGAGCGGATATGACTTCAGTTAGTGTCAACAGTCATTATTAGGGAATGTCATTGTTGCTTGAGCGGTAGTACATACATAACTGGAACATTTGTCGTTCAGTATTTCGGACGATTATGTTGTCCACTTCTTTGCACATACAATTTCTTTTTTATAGTTCCTTTCTTTTGTCTTCTTGTTGGAGTGAGAAGAATGCTGTGTGTGGATAAGCGGAGGTCATTTCCATTCAGTAAGGATACGGCATAAGGAGAAATAGTAGGAGTAAAACAAAGATTGAGTTTTCCAAGAAGTACAAAAAATACCATGGTAGTTCAATGTTGTTTTAAATTGATTTAGGTCTGTTCACTTGTTTGTCTTTCCCGGGCGTTATTTTTTGGAAGAGAGCAAATAGGAATAGGTTATGGATGTATTTGAAGGGGTTGCATGGGAGAAGGAAAATTGGAGATTGTGCGGTAGCTGGTATAGTGATTGATTGCTAAGATAGGATGAGGGAAAGCGGTATATGGGATCACTATGCCTCAATATGGAGTACACGCACAAACTGAAATGAGGAGATAAATGATATGTAGAGAGCAGAGGGCTAGTGGATGAAACGTTGGTGGTGGATGGCATCGAATAGCGAAAAAATCCGAGGACTTAAGTATAGAATAGTATTTTATCGATTAAGTTTCCCGAATCTGTGTTGTGTTGGAAACTTATTCTGTGTTCATGATTTTTGGTGTCATCGAGGTTAAGAGTCTTTGAGTTCGAAATGTATTCATACGATATATGTGTACACCTCAACTCATTCATTCCGAGAATACTCATGTCAAGTGACTTATATTGTGAAATTGGATCATAATAAGCTGCCCTTCGAACGCCGAATAGTTTTCGGGTCTGGGATATGTTGATGTGGTATACTTCGTATTCTTGAAGCGATAGCTACTCGATATAGAAATGTGAATGTATGACAAATTGGGCTAACTCTGGATATGATCACGTATACGATATACGGTTGAGCAAATCATTTGTTTACACGGAATCCTCGGTATATCCTCAAAACCTACAGTGCTACGCCCGTACACTTTCAGATGGGTTTCGACCATTCAGAGAACCTTCCTCCAGCTTGGAATATTCTGATAATCTTGGTGGCTTATTGTGGCTGTGCGAACTGGAAATGTGGATCCCGAGGTCGACAAGGCTTCTTGGAAAAGATCATATCAAACACCTTGTTGACATATCCCATCTTCTACCCTCTGAACGCCATCAAAAGGCGAGGAGTTGAAGCAAAGTATCTTTCTGAGCCTAGTCATAGAATTCTGGGTTTGAAGTGTATTCATACTTCATTTCTTATGAATCATGCAATGTAATTCTATGAGCAGTCATGATCTTGAGATACAAATTCATACTTCGTTTCTGGATGAATCATGAAGTATTGTGTATTTCGAGTCGTAACCCCCATGTTCTGATGCATACTCATAGCAAATATATATATTAATCATGCGGAAGCATCAACTTGACAGAAGAAAAATGGTTGACTCGATACCTCGAAATGCGCTTAAGTAGGATAGGGTGTCCTGCTTTGAGAAACCTTCTCCCTTAATCGTGCATGCTCTACTTTGAAGAGGATATTGTCATACCAGATATTTCTTGTGAATAGGAGATACAGTTAAAGATCGTGCGGTTAAGAATCATAAATATTGCCATCACATATTCGCGCTCTCACGCAACTTACACTCTCGATTTTCAGAACGCCATACAAGAACTGTTTTTTCGCACCTCGAAATTGCATTTCCATCAACTAAACCTTCGCCTCCTTGAACTTTTTCGTTACATACTCTACCATCATACACTCGACACTAAGACATAAATAAATACCACTCTCGACAAGCCATCCAGTCATTTACTTTTGAGATCATCTACAAGTTGTTTCTGATTGCGACGCCGAAGACTTCTCATTATTCTTAATCAACACGGTCGAAAAGGATTGATTGATTTGCTGTCAAATCAAAACTTCATTCTCCATCGCTGCCTTGTGTTCACTTTGAGCTTGTCGGTATTTTGACATTTGGTTACTTGAAGGTCGGGATTTTTAGTACTCGTCAATAATGCGTACCTCACGTTCCTCTCGTCATAGTGAAAATACATCACGTTCAACCCGTGGCAGAGGCAGTGGCAGTAGCCGCACTCGTCGCCATAATCCGCGTCCCTCCGCCCTCGCCCCAGTTCCCGATATCGCACCCCGAAAATATCGGACATGGGATATAGAAATTCAAGACGTAGCGGTCTTCTTTGCATTTGGCTTGCGCCGCCAGGATGTCTTGAATCCTGATAGAGATTATGGCCGAATGGCAACCGGCGGATGGGAGGCTTTAACAGATTTGATGAATGAGCTGATCGCGATGGATAATTACCAGTGTAAACCACTAAATACTGAGTTGTTGCGTTTCAGGATCCGGACATCATTTGGACAAAGAGCACTTAATCAGCTTAAAAGGACTTCAGACTTGCCAACAACACCATCTCGAAAGTGGGTTCGCAAAGAATTCTTGGACATCGTTTTAAGCTACCCAACACAAGTTCCAAAATCCCTAGTCCTAGGAGCGTGCACGTCGGCTTCAACGACGCCTGATAGGTGCTGGATGTGGGGAGGCTTGGAAGTCCAAGGTATAAAGAAAGCAACACTAGCGATCAAACAGCACAACGATTATAATAATGGTATTACGTCTAGCCCACCGCTCCCATCAGAGGAGTTCCTGAAAGGGCCAAATTTTGTTCCAGCAAACCAAAGTGCTTCGTCCTTGGAGATTTATAATGCCTTTCGAGCACAAGAGCCAGATCATCGCCCGGCAACTCAACAACAGGTTGGTCAATCTCAAGCGTCTGCTGTTCAACCATACGGTACTCAACAGGCTGGTGGTTTTACGAGTGGCTATTCACATGGTCATGCAAGTGAATAGCAACCGGATTATTCTGCAGTTTATCCTGATTATTGTACTCAGTGTAAAGAAAATCTGAGTAATTCTTCAATTAGTTAAATATCGGCTCTTTAATTATATAATACTTAATAAACTAATGATTTTATAAGTAGCTATTTATATGATTATACAAGTAAACAGTAATCAGTTTATCCTACAGTTCATTCTGGTTATTGTACTCAGTGTGAAGAAAATCTGGGCAGTTCTTCAATTAGTTAAGTATCGGCTCTTCAACCATACGGTACTCAACAGGCTGGTGGTTTCACAAGTGGCTATTCACATGGTCATGCAAGTGAACAGCAACCAGTTTATCCTGCAGTTTATCCTGGTTATCGTACTCAGTATCAAGAAAATCAGGGTCGTTGTTCAGGTACCTAGTCAATCGTGGGCTATGCAACCTTCTACAGGTCAAACATCGGCTCCTCGATCATATGTAGGTCAGCCATCTGGTGGGTATGCGGCTGTTCATTCGCGTGGTTTTCAAAGTGGGCAACGTGGTCAAGGTGGACAAGATGATCAGTATTATCATGACCAAGGAAGTGATCGTTAGGTACAATCTCTAACACTAACATACATTGCGTCTCTGATTTCAATGTCTTCCACGTTCTCTAGATTTCCAATGGATCATACGCGATTCAAGAATAGAGACGGCGATTACAGTTTGGCACCCATAGTACCGCACCATGTTGCAAAGGGTAGCTTCAACACACTTTCTTTCATTTTTTCATGGTAATTTTATGATGGTTTACTGAAATACTGGCTCTAGACAGAGAAAACGGGGGCTTCTTGTCTGACCATTTTTGTATGCCGATGGTTGTATCACTCTCAGAAATCTTTCCTTATTATTTAGTAGGTTTTATGGACCACAGCGAGGGACAAAGCATGTTACAGGTTTTAGAGTGTTTGGCGTTAGAGTTTTAGGAAAATATTCAAAAAAGCAGTTGACTTTTATAAATCGTTGAATCATACGTGTCCAAGGTCCAATGTGCAACTCTTCCACAACTGAGTGGTATAAATTCTAGAAATATAAACTCGATAAGCATTTCCAAGGTAGGTAGGTAAAGTGGTCGACTCGTCCCACTTTCCTGTTACCATTCATTTTTTCAGCTTTTAGTTATTTCCTGCACTGCTTGCTTTCCTGGAAAAGCTTTTTGACGGAATCGTGTACATATATATATTTCTGAAACCTCGAATGTACATATTTTACTTAAGTGTTAGTATTAAATAGAGTTATCATATCTACACGTCAAGATCTGGAAAATTAATGGAAATCAAGGGAAAAAGAGCTACTCGGCTAACTGATATCGAGTTTGACATGCAAAAGTTTAAGATAATGAGAAAATAGACTCAGGAAGCGCACCAGCAGTAGCAAGGGCAATGAAATAATTGTATCTATCTGGTATTCATCTGCGTTTTTATGAAGGCACAAACTTGGCGCGATATTTGAAGAAAGGAGACTGATCATTGAGAGGGGGCTTAGAGTGTGATAATCATGACGGTGGTGAGGCGGTATTTACTATGATGAGGCTATGATTGATAGCCAAACATAGGGTTGGGCGAGGTGTTGGTAAGGCGTCTATCAAAAGGAGAGAGTGCTTCTTATCAAGCGACGCTAATCGAGGACTGGCTTCGAGCAAAGTGTGGGATGATTCGAAAATCATCTCTATAGATCAAATTGGGTCGGATTATAACGTACGAGGTGAGCGATTATTAGGGAACTGAAAACAAGCTTGAATAGCAATATTAGAGGACGATTTACTGGCATTAATGTGGACTCTGATATCAGTAATCCATTACTGGATTCAGTCTCCTTATTTGGCAGCCCTCTACGTCAAGTGCTTCATACTCTAGAACTCACCAACACATGCTCATAATCAAAAATCTGATTTCGTTGGAACATCTTCAATTAATCGGGACCTTTCGATGTTCGTTCCTTTGCGGTTGTTAACAACTAGTTAAACTGATGTTCAGCGGAAAAGACTTGAAGTATTATATTTTTGCACTGATGCTAGGCCGCGATTTGATGGGATGATAGCTACTTTCTAACACATTCAAATCTGAACGATTTTTCTCACAACTAAAAGAAAAATAGGTAATCCAATTTCGAGGCGAACAGACAAGCAAAGTACAAATGTTGATTACCAAATTCCTAATCTCGTCCTTCGAGAAAGCGTATAAAATAAATCCAGACGCCAACCAACAATCCTTCTATCTTCTACTAGATTCGCTCGTATGGCTTCTAGAAGGTTTCTTTTGAGGTTTCTTGCCCGAAGTTTCTTTTTTCTGGTTCTCCGCCTCTAGTCTCTTTCGTTCCTTTTTCTCCACTTCATTTTTCAGAATATGGTAATTATCCAACCCATCATGGTTCCTTATAAATTCAGGAGTCAGTTTTTCTGAGGCACTTTCTGACAATATCCCACGCTTCATACTCCATTCCTCTAAGCGCCTCGTCAAATTTTTAACCGTTTTCTGATCGCGCGAAAACGCACCGAGTTTGAGTTCAGCTCTTTGGATTTCACCAAATTCGTCATCTGGAAATTTGTTGATCGCACTCTGATATTTCAATTCTAGGGTGATATGGTCCATGAGTTCGATGGACAGTGGCCGACCTACATTAACAGATGCAACCATGGTGAAAGAATGTGGTTTTTGGTGCTTGTTAATTGGCGAATGTGAATGCAGAAATTGAAGATAGAGTGGTAGATTAAGAGAGTTCGTCTGGTGCGCGCTACTGAGGTAAATTGATGTGAGGAAGCTCAGTAGATGATTTCATATCTCTTATATATTTTCAATTACATTCCCAGCATCTAGGCATCAGGGCCGTTGAAAGCCGGTCTCGATGCTGGGCCTTTCACAAATCTACAGTTATTTGGAAATTGCAGCTATTCGGAGACTGTTCAAATGCCAAAATCGTCTGCCTAAAAATCGCGTGAATATAATATTAAGATTTCGACAAATGTATACTTAAGCCTGCCTAGATTAGGGTCTCCACGGCGGCTTAGTACCTATATAGACGCCAGGAACCCAGGAACCCAGATAATCCCGATCCTCTGGACCTGTATCTCCGTATTTAAGAAACAAAACTTGTATGAAACAATTCAAAAGCAATTGATGAAGACAAAGAATTTTGAGGATCTGGTAGCTTATTGTAATTTTCCTAACTACCTAAGGTAGGTAGGTATTCCCATCACATTAGGTTCGCTTAATAAATCTCCTCAAGCCTCATACAAGCGTGCTTAGATACTTTCTTCTCAATAAGCTTCTTATATTAATTTCTCAAAACCTCTTTAAATCTATGTGGTGAATTAATACTAAGAATGATTTTCCTCACGTGAAAACAAGCAGATGGGCTCGCTTATTACACAAAGGCGTTTGTTAACCGATATCCCTGCTACGTGCACGACCCTACTATGTGCACACTTTTATTATTTATATAGAAAATTGAATTAAAAATTGAAAAAGCGATATTATAATTTGAAATTCAAAATTGAGATAATTGAAATAAACTTATATAATATTTTGAAATAAAAAAATTAAAAATCTCAAAAATTATAATAATAATAATGATAAATAAGATATTAATTTTTATAAAAAAAATTATTTATTTATTAATATATTTTATAATATAATTAAAAATATAAGTTTTTTTAATGAAATTATGAAGTTCTATATATTATAATATAAGATATTTGAAAAAAACTAAAGTTTTTTATCGAAAATTTGAAATTATATTAATATTAAATTCTAATATATTTTATAAAAAATATTTTAATAATTAATTATTAATAGAATAATGAATTTATAATATTTATTCTATTTTTAAGTTATATAATAACAATAATCTTTAAAAAAAATATAAATATATTAAAATCTATAATTATTAATATTAAATTTAAATAAAGATTTATAAAAACTTATTAGGAATTTGATTTAATCTAATAATAAATATAATATAAGTATTTATTAATTTTTTTAAGAATTTCAATCTTAAACTTTTTTGTTATATAGTTTTTAATCAATTATTAAAGAATGAAACTATATTGATCAGATTTGATTTAATAAAAAATTTAAATTTCGAAACTTAAATTATTAATTAATATTAAATCAATTTTTATTCAAAATAATTTTTTTAAAAATGAATTAATAATATTTTGAATTGAAAAAAAAAATTCTTTTTAAAGAATTTTTATATAATTAGAATCTTATTATATATAATAGAATTAAGATTTAGATAATTTTAAAAATAAAATTTCAAAAATAAAAGATATTTTTTAAATAATTTCTTTTATTATCAAAACTCTATATATTTTAATATTTAATATAATCCCTTTTTTAAAAACTTACTTTTTAAATCTTTAATATTAAATATAAAACTTAAATTCATTTTAAAAAATATTTTTAACTTTTCTAAAAATATTATAAATCATTAGAAAAATCTAAGAATCTATATTAAATTTAATTCTTTTTACTTTTTGATTTTTTTGATTTTTTTATAATATTATTAATATCAAAAAATCTATAAAAATTTATTATAATTCTATAAATAGATTCTAATATATTATTTATTAAGAAATTATATATCAAGATTCTATATTCTCTTTATTTAATTATTCAATCAATTCTTAATTTAATAATTCGAAATCCTTATAAATTGAAATTAATAATATTAATAATTATTGAATTAAATTTTATATTATTATAATGATTTTTAAATTTTAAATTGATTTTTGTTTTGATATAAAAAAAGTGTGCATATAGTAGGGTCGTGCACGTAGTAGGGATATCGGTTACCCGACTAGCCGACTTTCCCCCGCCCCCACACACAACAAATTTGTGCAATATACTTGTAAAAAACTACCTGTTGTCAACAATAGTAAAGCGGGCTTGTGGTTTAGTGGTATAATGTTCCCTTAGCATGGGAGAGGTCCGGCGTTCGATTCGCCGCTAGTCCATCGTAATTTTTTCTTTTTTGGGATCTGATCTTTGTCCCTAGCATTGTTCCTTTATCTTTTGGCTCTTCCTTTGCTCAGTCCCACCCTGTAGGCTTTTGTGGAAAAGTTCCATCTGATCGAGGGTCTTCAAGTTTCTTGAGAGTCGAGACGAAGAGGATGTCAAGTTTGGTGTGTGAACCTTATATTGGGAATGTATGTCGCTTTGTCCGGAAGCCCGAACCTAAAAGATACAAGTGGCAAAGTACGATGGGTAACATCTTCCACTTAGTCATCACCGACTACAACCTACATTTTCGGGTCTCAATTCAACTATACATGCAACTTTTGTCTATGATCTTACAGTACGACGATTGCATGTTAAGATTGAAGACTGCGATTGCGTATATTCAATGTTTTTGTCATCCTTGGAAACACACCATTGAACTGGATTCGCATTTGCCCCACTTCATCTTATCAACTCAAGTTCCAAGTGAGCAATTCTAATCCGCCATAGAAAATGATATTTCTATATCTTGAGTGTGGACAGTGAGTTGCCCATAGAGAGACCTAGGTACGATAGTATTCTTATCTCAGAAAGGTTTCATGTAGAGTCTCCTTGAATCATATAGCTCTTGTACACAATGCCACGCTTTCCATTATGGGAGAACTCTCCAAATAGTGTACGCAACAAAGTTGTACCGCATCCTCGCAGTTTAGTCAACTATCATTACAGTGCAAGCCAAAACTATTATTGCCTTCCACTTGTTAACGTCGATTGCTGTCTACGAGTAACCAATGGTTTTCATTTTCCCCGGGTCTGTTTGTTTCGTTGCACGTCTGAAATTCAATAGTTCCATTTAGTGCTGCATAATTTTCAATAGCGTGAACTCCACCTCACTACAGCATAGTGATGTATGATTCTTTTCTTTACTTGTCGACTTAGAAGTAGAGAAGAATTTTCGAAGCCTCATAAGATGAACCAGAATCATTTGTTTCTATATGAGATTCAATAGGTCAACTGCCAATATCGGCAGCAATGTTGGTTGATAAACATATTGAATGTGCTCTAGATCAGAGGTCAGCAGATTTGGATGTCAAATTTCTATTCTAATATCGGTCCCGGGAGGACCAGTTTTGAATTTTGGTTTGCGGAGGATATAATCCGTTAGGATCGTTCACTTGGAGATATATGAGTGGCGCCAAAGAGTGAAGGACACTTGAGAGGCGGGGGGGGGCTACGTTTTTGTGCTCTTATCTCTCAACAAAGGCCACAAAAACGAGAGAACTTTGTGCTTCTGTAAATGATAGTGTGCAAATTGCCAGTAGCTATTGTCACTTGCAACTTGGAAAGTATCGTACTCTTGATTCTTGGATCCGAATAAGTTCAAACAAGATGAACTTTACGATTCCCTGATCTGCAACAAAGTTGTTGGCTTCAGTCAGAACTCTCTTGATTGTCGCTATATTTCAATATAAGTATATTAAAGCTCAGTAATTATCTAAATCTTGCCCGAATTAAGTTAAATTGGGGCTCTCCGGGGTATATACGTTGTTGTCGGAAGTCACCAATGAATTTCACATGGGAACCAGAATCTGCCAATCATGGAAAGTAGCGATTCTGATTGAAGCTAGCAGACAAACACACAAGTCTAATGATATGCATCATTTATCATGTTTAAAGATTATAAGTCTCGTTCTGCTGCGTTTCATGAGAAAAGTCTTGAAAGGTTGGAATAGGCTATTCTAGATCGCCTCTCGAAGTACCGATACCTCACAAACCGGGGCCCGCCGAAATCGATGCCCATTGCTTACGATCTCATATATCCAACCATAAACCTTCACTTTCGCCGGCAAACCGTTTGTTCTGGGGAAAGTAGCTTGATTTACATTCGACTCCATCACAACCCCACCCCGAGAAAAGAAAATCTGTTCCCCCCACCAAGATCAAATTTGATAATTTGATCCACTATAAGCCCTCACGCACAGACTTCGCTTAAACAAGCACTTTCCTTACTTCACTCGCACAAATGTTTCTCTTGAAACATCGAAAAAAATAGTCAACCTCTACGACTTTTAAAGTAGCAAAAAGCTATCTCAATGGGAGACTGTTCTTGGACTAGCGGCGAATCGAACGCCGGACCTCTCCCATGCTAAGGGAACATTATACCACTAAACCACAAGCCCTTGCTGTATTTGTTGAAGACACGTCTCGGAAGGGTTCCTATATTCGAGAAATGAAACAGCTACAACATCTAATAAGGTGGTATGCAATACTCTTGGTGAATCAAAGACTCGCCGCTCAGCATGAAGCTTGCAAGCGCACCATGGCTTTATTACTGTCATCACTCTTGTTGCGGTTGTTGTTGTTGAGAATATCAAAATTAGCACGACCCTTACGAAAATCCGAAAATCGATGTCTTGGTTAAAAGCTCAATAATTGATGTCTGTAGTCAGATGCATACGTGGTTCTATAAGTTTTGATATCCACGTATGACGATACATCACATGAATAGTCTCTCTGATATATTTGGTCTGGGACTCAAGGAAGAGCCTCATAAATACAATCCAACTCTATCTATTTGCCACTTTAGCAACAAAACCTTTGCTTATCCCGAGAAAACTCGATGTGGATAATTATATACAATCTTGTGTCATTATATCAAAAGGTCAAAGGCAATAAACAGTATGAAGATATTTATC